TTTTACTGCCAACAATGTTCGAGTACAATTATTTTCCATATGCTTAGCTGCCTTGAAAGCTACTACACATGGTCCTTTTCACTTCGTTATTCCCGTGTATTTAGTTACATGCTACTACCCTAATCCAATCTTAACTAGTAATTAATTGTTCCTTTAATATTTTATTTTTATTTTAAAATATATTCTTAATTATTTTTGTATTATTTTAAACTTTATGATCAAAATACAATGATGAACTGAGCGCATGATATTCAATGTTCTAATAGGGGTATTTTAGTTAAATAAGATTGGGGTCAACATATACATCCTAAGTTTTTTTATATATTATTTTTACCGAGAAATATGTTTATCAACCTAAAGTAAATATTACTTGAGTAAAAATGTTTTGATCTCTCATATATTTTCCCTTAATTACAACCACCTTTCATTAGTTTAAAAACCTATATAAATTTTTTTAAACTAAAGTTATGTTGTACAAATCTCTTCTCTAATTTTATTATCATATTTCCATTTACCCAACCATTAGTTAGTCATCATCTTACTAATTTAACTTTTTGGGATCAAAACACTGCTTCTTAACATAAATATGTACTCTTTCAGGTACCAACTAACATGTTCTATATATAAGAAATGTGTGGTCCTAAATACAGTTCACTTTGCATGAATTAGCCATCAACTCACTATATTTAATTTTTTTGGGATCGAAATATTCCTTTTTAACATTAATATTGTTTCACTCTTTCGTCATAGATATGTAGGTTGTATTATATTCTAGAAGTAAATTGTAGTCCTAAATACAAGTCATTTTTCATGAATTTTAGGGATATTTAAGGTTTTGTTCCAAAATATTGTAATTTCCAATGAGTATATGGAGAGGGCATTTTTTTAAAATAAGGGGTAAAAGTAGTAATTTCTTTAGCTTTAAGACCATGAGATAATTTTTTTTTTATTTCGATGAGGTAGTTAAAAAAGAACTATATATATTTAAAAAAAGAAGGTAGTAATCAATAGTCTTTCAAACACATGATTTTAAACTTCTTTAAACACGATTTTTGACTTTTTCTTATAATCAAGCTTTCTAACATTTTTTTCTGAGTAAACAAGTTACTTAATTTTTCTCTCTATTTACTTGAAATATTGTATAAATTAAGTAATTAAGGAAATAAAAATTTAAAAGCAGACAAACTAACCACTAACAACTAATTAATTCCATAAATATTAGGCTATCTAACTGTCCATCACCAAGTTTGTGTACAACATATATATGGAAATGAACTTGTATTTGTGCATTAAGATATTCCCTTTCCTCACAATCCACTTCGCACGACATACCAAGTTTAGGTCGAATGGCTCTCTTATGCTATGCTTAGCTGACAAGGAAAAATAGGAAAAAGAGAACATGAAAAAAATATAAGAGTGGAAAGGATATAATTTTCTCTCCCTTTTTTTTTGGCCATTAATTTTCTCTCCCTATATTTAGCTAAACGAGAAAAAATAAGATGAAGGAAATATTGTTAATTTTATATAAACAATAATAATCTTATTATCTGTAGAAAAGTATATTTATATATAATAAAATTTAATATTTTAATATGTTATTTATATAGTTTTTATTATATATTTCTGCTTAAATGACAATATAATTGTAAATTATTTTATTCGATGCTAATGAAAAAAATTATTTTGTTCAATTTTAATTTTTATTTCTTAAATTTTTAAATCTACAATAATCTAAATGAGGCAACGTGTAGAAAATGAAAAAAAAATTTATGGTTGAATTTTTTCTTCAAAATCTCCCTGAAGAAAAAAGTGGGAAGTAAAAACATATAAATCTTATATGTTATTTTGTTCCCAATTTCCTTTCCCTCTCATTTTTCTCTTCTTAGCCAAGCTTTTTTTTTTTTTGGCTACTTTTGTTTCCCACTTTTCCTTTCCTCTACTTTTCTCTCTTGCCAATCTCAAAATTAGGCACGTGATACAAAACATGGATAACGGGAATATTCAACTAATTAATTGAAGTTGTCGGTGGACTTTGCTGTAAGAGGTGCAAACCCCTTTTTTTACCCCATAAAAAGGAGAATACTATTAAAAGAAACCGAAAAACTTCCAATACAACCAGAAAAACAAAAAACATAACAAACAAGACAAATATAAAATTAACCAAGGTCACAAACAATATAATCAGCCTCCAACAAATTAAGAAGAGGAATTGGAGGTCTAACAACCCAATCCAAATGACATAATTTCTTTAGCGCAGTTTTGACGACCCACTCAGTCACCAAATCTGCACTCTTAGAAATCGAAGAAAACATGCAGTCCGGAACCAAGTTCCTCATAAAGAGGATATTCTCAAAAGAAGAGAGGCACTTCCAATCAATAGGTGCCGAATTAGAATTCAAACAATTGGCCATAATCCTTGAATCAGATTCAAAGCAGACCTTCTCAAGTTCATTATTAACAACAAAACTAATAGCTTTCTCCAAAGCCAAATCAGAATTAATTTCAAAGAATTGCCAGCAGGAGCAACCCATTTTGGATAAGAATTAACTAGAATCAGGTTGACCAACAGCACAAATCATCATTGCTAAACCGGTTATTCACACTCCAAAATTTAAAAAGCATATAAGCAATTATGACTCCGTCGTAGAGAAAAGAACACCTTGCCTTCCAAATTTTCCATAAGGTACAACCAAGAAGCACGTTTTGCCAACAGTCAAGACCCTTAGCTAAAAACCAACTAGCTATCCACTTATTCAGAGATGAGACATTATATTCACCATTACCACAAAAATAGTCTCTAGGAGCATGTCTTTTAGAGTGCTTAATAAAAAAATGCTACTAAATGTGGAGGTTGAACATACAAGAGCGCTTTTAAAAAAAAGCGCTCCAATAATAAAATGGATTTTTAAGAGGGCTCTTTCGCATAGCTCTTTTATATGTATAAAATAATATACATATAAAAAATCTTCAAGAGCGTTCAAGAAATAAGCGCTTCAAAAAATAATATAAAAAATAAAAATCATCTTTAGGAGCACTTAGTTATTGAGCACTCCTAAATAATGTATAAAAAACAAAAAAAAAGAGCCTTCAAGAGTGCTCTTGAGCAAAGACTATACTTTTCAGAGCGCTTAGTGAATAAGTGCTCCAAAATAAAATATATATATATATATATATATATAAATAGAGCCTTCAATGTGTCATAAGTGGCATATATAATTTCATCCTTAAAATGTTAGTAATTAAGTAGGAATTTATTTAAGTACTTCCACAGATACAAGGTTGGGAGTGGGAATACTATGTGATGAAATTTATGAGAGAAGTAATCACATAATAAGAATTGATCATTCCTAAGAATGTAAGCCAAGTGTTTTAAAACTAAATTAATATAATGTTAATTACTTATATGTTGCTTTCATTTCTCATGTATTTTGCAGGAGCAAGGTCATCACATTATACTATGGAGCAAATAAAAGATGTAATTGAGGAGTAGTCATAATACATAATTGGTTATTTGTGATAGGTAACTAATTCCTAATGTTAGAAAAATACTAATAGTTTTATTTGTTAAACTAACTCACTAGAGATTAGAGAAGTTAGAAAATTGATTTAAGCTTGTTCTAATTTCAAGTTTTTTAGTTGCATACAACTTCTAATGATGAATTATACTATTATTGGATTGATTTTATTTTGTTGGATTAGTCATTTATATTGCAAGAGAATGTGTAAAAAGTTTTAAAAAACATTGAAAAAAAATAAAATTACCTACAAGATGTCATAGGAGCACTTTTTCGATGAGCTAGCACTCCCATATGTCAATATTCAAGAGTGCTTTATATTGTAGGTGTATAATATTTGAAATTTTTTGGTACCTATAGGAGCACTTTTAAAAAGAGTGCTCTCATATTCTAGACTTATAGGAGAGCTTTTTAAGTGCTCCCATATATAAAGGAGTGCTGACTATAGAAGTGATTTAGAAGTGCTCTTGTTGGTAAAAAATAAGCGCTCTGAAAAACTTATTTTGCAATAGCTAGGTGCACTAACTATTAGTGCAGAAGAACTTGCAAACAAGTGGCCTTAACCAAGTCACAATATTAAAAAATATGTTCAAGAGATTTCACTTTTAGAAGAACATATATCACAAACATCCATAATATTGCAAGCCAAAGGGTGCGAACCAAACTTTTATCCTCAAGGAGAGCAAGTGAAGTTTTTCCTCCCCTTGCTTGTTTTGGATGGGACAAGAAGAAAGGAATGGCTCGCCTCCCCTTATTTCACAATGCTTTAGTGGGAGGGGGGATTGGGAGGAATTTCCCCTCTCCCTCTCCCTCCCAACTAAACATAATGTAAAAAAAGAGCGCAAAGCTTGTAACAAAAAATGAGCACAATTATAATAGACTTTTTCAGTTAAACTTAGTTCAAAATATAGGTCACCTAGTATTTTTTTTGAAAATTATTTTTTAAATTTGCAAATGTATTAATTAACATGATGAGCGTGTGAAATATAAGGGGACTAATTAAACACTTCTTTTCACTCTTCATAATAAAGGGATTAAGGTCAAAAACAAAAAGTTATATTATTTTTTTTTATGGAAATAAGGAAATAACTGCTTTTATATATATATATATATGAAATATGGTTGATAATGTCTTATAATTTAGACAGGAGGGAGAGTAACAATATGGATGCCAGTTCATGTTTTAAAAGAGTCTGGTTTGAACATACTCCCTCAGCAGTTACCCATTTGAAGCCAATCTTAAATAGCCTGTGATTAAATTGAAACACAAAATGCTGGCAAAAGATGCTTTACGATAACGGAGTGAGTGATACGTGCTATTATTCATTATTGAGTGTGCATTGAGGTGACACAGCACTGCTCTTGGTCGTAGAACCAAATTAACACAATTGCTATCTTGTCCAGAAATCGATCTGGTGCATTTCTCCCTCTTTATGTGCATTTTTTATGTTAATTGTAAGATAAGATAAATTGAAGAGAAAAACCAAGATAAAACATGATGAAAAGAGACATAAAATACGATGATAGAAGAAGATCAAGGCCTTGCAAGCAACTAGTTTGCAAAAATGCAAACGGGAAACAGGGCACGAGATAGTTTATTGGATAAGATAGATTTGACATAGAGAGAAACAAAGCCTAAAGCAGTAGAAGTAGGCTTGGTGGTTCATTCATAGCATTGCATAATTAAGCAAAAGGGGAGCATTTATCATAGCAAAATAAGGTAGTGTCAGCACAACGACACTGTGGAGGGTAAGAGCGAGTGCAGAGACAGGCCTTGCAAGCAGAGTGGCAAGTTTCTCCGATGTCGTTGCAATGGCACTGAGGAGGGATTGATATGGTGCACGTACAGCTATTGCAGCAAGCAGTGGTGGTGGACTTGATGAAGTAGTTGGGTTCGCCACTCTCATTCATCACCTGAGCCAGGAAGGTGTCTGCGTCGAAGCGAGCCTCCACAGTTGCAGTGAAGGCCATCAGGAACAAAACCAGACCTACCTTCATGATTGCCTTCTTGTTCAAATCCGCCATCTTCTCTCTCTCTCTCTCTCTCTGATCTGCGTGTGAGTGTGTTGGTGTGTTTGAGATTTGCTTGTGAAGTGGCGAGGAGATAGGGAAGCCTATTTATAATCCATCTTAAGGGATATTTTTGGTAGCATGTGTCGTTGATGAAGAGCCAAGCCAGCTAGAAGAAATTAAAAGACGTGGGGTTTTAATGAGTCTCTATTGATTAATCTTAATAATCTGTCACCCAATTATTCAAATAGAGTATGAGATTTGTATATCCTAGTACTTCTGTTTAGATTTGTTTAATTGACCCCTTCACTTTTAATATCCTTATGTTATTAAAATAAATGATATTTTGGTAATTGTACTTTTTTCATGAGGTTATTGTATTCTCATGAGGGCAAAAATGTCAATTTGGCCCAAGAAACACTGGTGGTTTAGGTGGCTATTGAATCACGCTACACTCACATACTTTTATCCTAGTTCCTGTTTGCAAATCTGAGATTCATTCTAATTTCAGTTGGTGATTTTTTAATCCAAACATATTGGGTGGCTATTTACAACGAGGGAAGTATAAAAATAAAATAATGGTTGCGCGTGATGCTCGATTGTTTTTCTTTAGTTAGCTAAGTACAAAAATGTGTCTATCTTATTTTTTTTTTTTTGGGTGACAATTTTATTATGATCATATTTAATTATATTTCAAGCCCTTAAATTTTTGAAATTTCACTGTAATATAGGGGTATTGATTTGTTATTAAATTTCTAAGGAAAATGATAAAATTGCCTTTCATTTAAATCAATATCAGGACTGTCCTACTTCATTTGTTAATTGTCTTATTTCATTTATTCATTTACTTATCGAATGTTGTTAATTACCCTACTTCACTTACTTATTTTCCTGAAATGAAATCAAGTAAAAGTTTGACAATGAATAAATGAAGTAGGACAATTAAAAATAGTTCATAAATAAATGAATGACATATAGTGGAAGTATGAGAATCAATAAATTGTTTTAAGATAATGTAAACAACTAAAATGAAAACAAGTTAAATAGGACAATTAAAAACATTCAATAAATAAATGAACAAGTGACATAGGCAATTAACAAGTAAAATAAGAAAGTTATGATATTAATTTAAAGAAGAGGCAATTTTATTATTTTTTTAAAAATTTAATATCAAATTAGTACCCCTTCAAAAACTTAGGGCTTTCAATGTAATTAAGTTTGGTTAAAGGTCTTTATTGAAATTCTCCCAAATAAATTCCTCAAAGGTGTGTAAAATTTAAATATCTTTTACTACCAAGTGCCAACAATGTTTTTTTTTTTTTTGAATTAAAGGCTACAGATACACTCTACTGATTGGCAATATGAGTCATGTCAGCGTACAAAAGATTGCAACAACCAAGCGGTAGACTATCGAAAATACAAACATATAAATTATCAGAACAAGCTTGATGAGATGATCAGTCTGCACATTTGTTAGCCTCTCTAAAAACATGATCGAACATGATTGTCTATTCTTGCATGGTGAGATCTCTGATTTTATTGATTGCCTCAAAAAGTGAGTAGGTAGTAGAGAACTCATTATGAATTAGCGAGAGAGCTTATGTAAAGTCACTGTAGACATTAACTTTATCAAACTTATTAGCCCAACAAATATTTAGACGTTCCAAAATGCTCATAAGCTCTGCTACTGTATTAGAGTAATAACTAAAGTATTTGGAGTATCCTTTGATCCACAAGTGCCAGCAATGTTCAAGTACATACAATTATTTTCAATATACTTAGATGCCTGGAAAGCTACAACACATCGTCACACATGGTCCTTTTCACCACGCTATTCCTGTATATATATTATATTATTAATTACATGCATGTAATACTGTATCCAATCCAAAGTAGTATGTAATTGTGCCTTTAATATTCTATTTTTATTTTAAAATATAACATTAATTATTTTTGTGTTATTTTGAACTTCATGATCATAATACAATGATGAGCAGAGCTCAATCATCATGATATTCAATATTCTAATGAGGCTATTTTAGGTAAATAAGATTGGAGTTAATATACAACCTAAGCTTTTTTTGTATTATTTTTAGCCGAAAAATATATTTTGTAATCAAAAGTGAATAGTACTTAGTAAAATATTTTGATCTCTCGTGTTTTTCCCTTAATTACATTATTATAACGACGTTTCATTAATTTAAAAACCTATATAAATCCTTTTAAATAAAAGTTATGTTGTACGAATCTCCTCTCGAATTTTAATATTATATTTCCATTATTCACGCAATAAGAGGATAATTGTAAGTGATAATAATTAAAAAAAAAAACTGTTGCTGCATTTTGCTGTGAAAGGTGCAAACCAAACTTCAAAGAAAGAGCAAGGCTTGCAACAAAAATGAGCACAATTATTTCTTTTTCGGTATACATGCAAGGTAAATACTCGACCCAATCAAAATTAAAAGACATTTTATTCCAGCTAAACTTAGTTAAAAATACAGGACACTTAATACTTTATGAAATTACTTTATAAAATATTGGACATCTATTTATAACCTTGTACAACCCCAAGGCAAGAAACCCAAAAACATAACAAAATAACATCAACAACGTAATAACCCATAATAAATAACAAATAACCCTGATAAAGTAAACAATAATATAAAATCACAATTATTTGATTTTCTCTTCACTCCCCTCAAGTTGGAATTGAAGATGTTCAAGGTGCCCAACTTGATCAACATTCTTTCATGGCTCCTCCCTCTTCCAAGTGCTTTAGTAAGCATATCAGGTTGTTGTTCTGCAGATGATATACGCTGCAACGTGATTAGACTGTCTTGTAGTTTTTCTCTCACGATAAATTTTTATTTGCTTCGTCCTCTCATGAAACACCAGATTAAATGCAATTTGAATGGCAGTCTTATTATCACAGTAAACCTGTCAACCACACTATCTCAGACCCAATGCTTCCTGATGCACGATACTCTGCTTCTCTGCAGAGGACTTTGGCACAGTAGCTTGCTTTTTGGACTTCCAATACGATTGGAATCCCTCCTAAATTGACTAGATACCCTGTAACTGATCTCGTAGTTTCAGCACATGCACTCTAATCCGAAGCACAATACTCCTCTAGATGTTAATCTTCAGAGGCCGAGGAGAAAATCCCTCTTCACGGATCTTTCTTTATATATTTGAATGCATTCATAGCAACTTTCATAAATGATCTTCTTGGGCTGCTCATGAATTGGTTAAGAACCTACGTAAGTGAAACTGATATTGACAATATCATTCCTAGTTCAAAGTAATACATCCATAACATATTAAGTTTTAATTTTCACATTTTTTATAAGCTTACTTTTTTATTTACCTTATTTATCCTCTTAATATAAATAAGTTTTCAATTTTTTCGACAGCTTAATTTATATAATGTCAATGAACAACTCACGCACTCAAAATTTCACCATAATAATCAGGTTGATATTAATCTTTTTCAATTGAGTAAAAATTTGTATTACCAAAGCTAGAGCAAGGAGAGAAAAATGGTTCAAAATTATATTCAATTATTTAGGATTTCGAATTAATTCCAAATATGTCAAACTCACTCGTTCAAAACAAGCCAATCTAAAAAAACAAGTTAACAAGTAAAAGAAGATAATTTACTTGGAAAGTGACGGTACGGTACAACTCTCCAAGCAGTAATAGTGTCACAAACTAGTTACATCAAACAAAACTGAACCAAATTGATATCAATCCATCAAAGCCAATTATAAATAAGATTTGTTTTTTTTTTTTGGTTTTGGCAAAATTAATTGATTTGTTTTGGTTCGGCTTTCTGTTTCTTGAAACTTGAACTGCATTGAATTAAACCTTATTACATCTATTTTATATATTTTTATAAATTTGTCAAAATAATCTTTTTCAAATTTAGTTATATGTAAATCATTTGTTAAAAATATGTTACAATTAGTTAAATGTTGTCTATAATTATTTATGATATTTTTTTAATTTTATAACTAAGTGTTTTAAGGATAACATATATTAGTTTTTGATAGTTAACTGTGGTAAATAATTGTTAGGATTTTTTTGTTGTTGTCAAGAGATTTTTCATTGAAAATATCAATTAGTACTTAAAAATTATTAGTAAATATGCATGTGTGTGTGAGTATATTGATTATGAAAAATATTTCAAAAAACTTAAACTTGATCCAAATTTAAATCAAACTCAACCAAATCAATTGAAAAAAAAAAATCAAACAAGTTTCAAACTTTGGTGAATTGTTTGGTTTATTTTTTCCTGGAACCAAACCAAAGCTACGAACTCCTCCACCGAGTAGGTTGGGGTTGTTTGAACACTTCAAAAAGTGGTCCTCAGTCATTTTCCAGACAAAGTCTGTGTGATTGAAATCTCTTTTAGTTGCAAAGAATCTTCGTACACTTGGTTTTGGATATAGTTGCTCGCTTGAGAACGACCTCGCATGCATTGTTCTATATCTACACCACGTCCTCTTTTTCAAAGATGCATCTTTCTTTCTTATTTTCGTGCATTTTTTTGTTGTTGAATATAATATAATGTAAATTGAAGAGAAAAGCAAGATGAAGCATAATGAAAAGAGGCAGAAAAAAAAAGATGATAGAAATCAAGGCTGTGCAAACAAGGCACAAGACATAATATTTTTAGAATCGGACCAGACAATGAATTAAAAATATCGGTGGTTCACGATTTGTCTGATTTAACCGAGTTAGAAGAATGGTCAAATCAGTAACGTAATAATAAAATTAAAAAATTTTATGTGTATATAATAATTTAAATATAAAGAAATAAATATGAAATTACTACTTAACTTAAAAATAAAATCAAATATTTTAAGCTTGTCATAACTTAGCAAGTAACATAATACAACATAACATCAAATGATTAAAAAAAGTAGTCACTTTCTTTAAAAAAGTGATAAAAAAATTTACCAGTTCATTTTTGAAAATCAGGTCTGGTTTTCAGTTCGATCGCCAGTCCAAAACGGCCCAACTTGACTCAACCTCTAAAATAGTTTTTACATGTTGACCGAGTTAAAATTCAGACCAATCAATAGTCTGATTGATCCGACCGTTCGGTTTGATCTGATTTTTTAATCACTGCAAGAAACTTTATTTGATAAGATGGAAAGAAACAAAGCGTAAAGTAGCAGGAGTAGGGTTAACACATCAGAGAATCAATCAGAAGTTGGTGGTACCAGGCAGACCCATTGTGAAGGCCAAATGACTAATGAGAAGGCAGAGACAGGCCTTGCAAGCGGAGTGGCAAGTTAGTCCCTTGTCTCTACATTACATTGGCATTGAGATCGTGGCGGTCGACTTGATCATGTAGTTTGGTTCGCCAGCAACGTGATTTGCATGAACCGAGCCTGAATGGAGTAGGTGGCATCCTCTCAGACATTGTGCCGGTGATTCCAGGATTAAAAAGAGTGTTAACATCACTTGTTTTTGTGTTCATGTTCTTTAGAATAATTTAACTTATTTGAGAAAAATATTTCCTCCATCCCAATTTATTAGACACTTCTACAGAAAATCATGTATACAAATAAAATTTAGTAAATACACTTTATAACTTTTCTATTTCAAAATAAAAATCTAAACTTTAAAAAATACTCTTCATTTAATATTTCATTTGTGAAAGAATATTAAAGAAATAAAATATATAAGAAGGATAATATTAAAAAAGTATCATTAATAAAATCTTATTCTTATCAAAGTGTATTTAAATCCTTTCCAAAAATATCTTATAATTTGAGACAATGAGAGTAAGATTTTTGGTCCTTATAGTTAGCACAGTTTTTTTTTTTCAAACAGATCTCAATATTTTTAAAACATAAAACATAAATCAATTAATATTAGTGTGAGTAGTAAGGGTTCTAAATACTTAAAAAAGTAGTTCAGAATTCAAATTTCAATCCTTTCATATGGAGTGATTATTTTGTCGGAAGAAGTTTATTATTTGCCTTCAGTACCTCAAAGAAATTGTCATATGCTTCTTTATTTTTTTTATAGGAAAAAAAAATTCAAGAAACATTATATCATAATTTTTTCAAATTTTTTTTTCATAAAGCCAATATTTATTTTTACGAGACAAATTTATTTCTTTAGTTACAATCCATTTTTTTAAGGAAAAAAAAACTGTTTAAAAATAACTGGATACACCACCCCTGTCTTGTGGGAACAGGAGGGAACTCAGGAGAGGAAGATTACTGGACTAGGTTTGATGCTTCATACATGTGGGTTCGGCCCACTGGGTGATTATTCTATACAAGGTGTTTAAGCATGCCATAAATATTGTTGGTATTGAAAATTGTTTAAATGTATGAGGCATGTCAGACTTAAAAAAAAAAACGCAATGTTTACTTACCGTAATTTTTCGAGATGCTAAGATGAAGTTTAATCATAACGGAAAGAAGTAAATCAATATATATTAAAATATGTACATGTAAGTGGGTAGGACCTCACTTATTTAAAATACAAAAGGAGGCAATGTAAATTGCAAGAAATGACATTATTTATTATTATGTAATGAATCACAAATGCATCGGGTCGTAGGTCCTTTTCTAAAATGCTTGTACTAATTGCAGGCGTATCTCTATCTACTGACGCCTGCCCCTATATTATTTATAGATGATAGACACATTACATTTCCCTTGAAATTTAATACTCTTTCCATATCAAATTATAAAATATTTGTTTAAAAAAATTAATATTTTAAAATATAAAACACTTTAACAAAAATAAAGTTTTATTAATAATTTTTTTTAAAAACAATTAATTTGTTAGTCCTTCAAATTTTAACCCACTTGTAACTTAATCTCTCAATTATAATTTACTGCGATTCAATTCTTTAACTATAACTTACTGCAACTCAATTTCTCAACTTTTAATTTACTTATAATTCAGTCCTTATCTTATATTTTTTTAAAAAAATTATCCTAATTAAATAAGAGATATAAAATAAATGCTCATTCTTGTTCTAAAATACCTTTCTCTTACTCTTTGATGTGAGATCTAAGTTAACATAAAAAAAACTAACAAAAGTTGAGAAACTGAATTATAGATGAGTTAAAAGTTGGGAGATTGAATCATAAGTAGGCCAAAAGTGAAGAGATTGAATCACAGTGAGTCATAATAAAGGGATTAAGTTACAAGTAAATTAAAATTTTAAGGACTAAGAGATTAATTTTTTTTAATTTTTATTATATTATCTCTTTTTAATATTCTTTATAAATGAAATATTAAATGAGGATATTTTTAAAATTTTATATTTTTATTTTAAAAAATAAAATTATAAAGTGTATTTAATGATTTTTATTAATATTTATAATTTTATTTAAAAATATTTTATAATTTAAGATGAGGAAACAATAGCAGACTACGGCCTCCCACTCTACCTATACACTCATCTCGTCAATTTAAGGTGGGTGGATGGGTGTGTGAGGAGGGAAAGAAAGTGGGGGCGGGTCCTAGCAGCAAGAGAAGGCAAATAGAGAACTGGAAACGCTGAAAACTACTCAATGGAGGTTGATTTGTGCATTGATGACTCTGTATTTTTATATATTTTAAAGATTTTTTATTGATTAATTGGAGAGTCATCTAGCTATTTTTAATTAATTGTCTTGTGCTTAGTATTTATTTCGTTATCAGTTAGCTTGTTTTATAAATATTATGTTTTGATTTTTGTTTTAGAATAATTTCTTTTGTTAATTAGAATCATTTTTTGATTTTAAGAAATTCTACTAAAATTTGAAAGAGGTGGATAAGAAAAATATAATGAATTTAATGAAAAAATTTACTTTTTATGACCACCCACTATAGGAGGTTAATATTATAAAGCAAATTTTGAATAAAAAACAGAGCCATTGTATCAGGCGTTGTAGCGGATTTTGCATCAGAAACGCTCAGCATAAGTTTTTCAAATAGAAAAGCAGGAAAGCACGAGAGTTTTAAGTAGTTTGACTTTTGAGAAGTGCTTTGGACCAAAGGAGGTGATTTTGAAGGCTGGGCACTGACCTAGGAGCTTGGAAGAAGAGGATTTATCCACATTTTATGATTTTATCTAGTTTAATCTTGTTTTTCTTCTTATTCTCAAAAGTTTCTAATTTTTCTTCTTCATTTTGCTATTGTGGGAGTGAGCTTACTGATATATAGCTAGATTTTCTTCATAACCTAAGCAACTATGAACTTGTTTATGAATTAGATACTATTTTCTCTGATTATTCTATGGTTAATGTTAGTTTTGGGTTACTTAATCTCATTTATTGTGACTTGCTTAATGACACCATTGAGTTGAGATTCAGTGATTTAGGATTTATTTTGGAAAATAAAATCTTAAATGGACCTTAATATGGGATTAAAATTTATTCTAATTTGTCATTAGGAGAGGAGCATACTTTTGGACACATATAATCATATTAGAGTGTCATTGAATTTTTAATGCCTCTTGGATAATTGTATTAACATTTGTATTATTATTTAAGAGAGGGTTATAATTCATTCAGAAAATAATTTTAACTAATTAGACTATAGATTAATCAAGCAAAATTAGTCTAAGGTAATTCGCAGGAAATATATTCTAAGAAATAAACAAGGGGATAGGAGCTTAGGTAATCTCTTTTATGAAATTATTGTTTTGTAGAATTATTTGCTTTTGAATCTTAATTACTAATTTTTCTTGTTTATAAATGCTCATGTGTGATTTGTTTGACTTAAATGAAATTGAAAATTTAAGGTCTATTTACTAATTTATTTAATTTCCTATGGAATTGACTTAATTTGCCATTAGTTACAATTGCGAGCCATATGCTTGCAGTGATTTGTGCATCATTGTCAATGTCACTGTCAGTGTTGATCAGCATCTGTGGTGGTGGTGGAGGTGGAAAAGAGAAAGGAAAAGGAGGGATGATCAAAATAATGCAGCAGGCTTCATATTGTTTGGTTTTGGTTGTGAGTAAATGAAGAAGAGAGAAGCATCAATTTATAGAGGAGGCAACCATGAGCAAGCAAAAGCCCAAACATCAATTTATACTTGTCATAGTTTACACCTTCTTACAATTAGGTTCGCATAGTTTCAAACGCTCTAAATTATGGTCAAAATGCTCATAGCTTGATGCTACTGGACAACCTACTTGTACGTACTTTCAAAAAACAAAGTAGTATAGACGATTTTTCTTTAAAAGAAGAAGAAGAAGAAGAAGAAGTGAAACTGAAAAGCGAAAAGACATGCTTAAATTAAATAAAAGCTGTACAAAAACATAGTAGTAAAGTGATTCTGAGACATGGCACAAGTTATCGATATTATTCTACAATTAACTGCAATCGCAAGTGACACGTTTTGTCTTTTTTTGAAAAAAAAAAAAAAAAGGGACTGAGAGACGACGATGTAAAATACATTAATCCTGACTGTAAAAATTAATGAAATATCAAATACGGTATAATCCTTATACGTTGCTAGCCTTACATTCTCTGTTCGCTCATGCATTTCATGTGGCACCAAAAGCAATATCAATATCAATAAAATATGGTGTAAAAAAAGATACTACTGTTTACAGATCATTAAAAAAAGACTAGCACGAATCCGGTGAGATGCATGCACGGTCGATCCAGATTTAGATATGATTGAACCAAAGTGCCAAACTGAATCGTTAACGTAAAAAGCACTTCGAGCTTCACCTTGATCACTCCCTCGTTACCTCTATAAATACAAGCATCCGAATTCCCATACACTCACACCCAAAACCAAAAACCCTATAGTCTTCCATAGCCACAAATCAATGAAGCCTACTGCATTCCTTTCTTTCCTCTTCTTCCTTCTCTTCGCCTTTACCGCCACCGCCGTCTTGGCGGAGGTGGTGATTGACTCCGACGGCGATATAATGAGAAACGGGGGCACATACTACCTGTCATCGGCTGCTCCTATCGGAGGCGGAGGCATTTTACCTGATACCATAATTAACCAGGGTGATCCCAAAACCTGCTCAATCGCTGTGGTTTCAAAATTGAACACTGAAGGATGGGAAGTAACTATATCTTCTCCTATCAGAGCTGGCTTCATCTCCACCACGTTTCCTTTGAACATATCGTTCCCTCGTTTAGGACGTAACGTCTGCACCGGCGATTCAAGAGATTGGGTCGTCAAAAATTCCCTTCCTGTTGGTCAGCCTGTGATGATTGGCAGTGCAGAAGAATTTGGCTCTGCTTATGTTCCTGGTTGGTTCTTTATCAAGACCCACGACTCAGAAAAGCATTACTATAAGCTCGTCTTCTGTGAGCATGGAAACGATCACTGTGGAGACATCGGGGTCAAAGTCGATGGTGAAGAACGACGGCGTTTGGTTGTCACCGATAAGGACCCACTGGTTTTTAAGTTTGACAAGGTTAACGAAAGCTTCGCCTCCGATCTGTCCATGGTGGTGTGAACTGGGAACCTCTAAGCTGGCCGAAGATCGATAATAAGAATAATAATGGGACGGTGATGGTGATGTAATTAATAATGAGAGTGTGACAAATATACTTGTTGCACTTCCAAAGATCACTACTTTATGTAGTTGCTTAGGTTAGGAACAAATATAACATTATATCATCATCAGTTAAATTTCTTGAGCATACACACACTGAACTTGCTTTTACGATGCTTCTCCACAAATACCAAATGAGAAATCGTAGGCCCCTTACGAGCGAGACACGTCGATTATAATTTAGAACCCATTATGATCTCCCTAGTGTACCATGCATATATATATCATTTTCCGTTCATTAATTCAAAGGATTAGACATATATACATGTGCGATTCTGCAGTGTTCGTCGTATGTGAAAGATATATAAAACCAAACGGGAAAAACGTCCATATCAAATTGGACCCCATATACCATCAATTTCAGTCAATCAATAATTGCACGGATGCCCCTTTTTTCAAATTCATCATTCTAATTAAAGAGTTTTAACAGCCACCAATACATTACCACATACATAAGCCACATTTCTATCATTCATTCAATAAAACTATCCAGATTGATCATAATAGAAAAGTATGTTAAGCAAAATCTTCCTCATTATTAAGTACAGTCCATGCTATATAGGATGACGAATTTGGATCCATTGAGTGGCACAAATCTATTTATTCAATAAGTGTCTCGTGTAGTATGATAACAATTATTCAATTTTAGAGATTTTGTCATGTAAAACTCATAAAGTACCAAATCTCAAATTTTTGGAAGAAACAACATACGTGAGGAGTGTTTTAATTGTGAGGGTTGTTTTCAATTTTTGAAAGAAAATGCATCTTGATAATATTTCTAGTATTGATGCATGAAATCCAACAACTATGATTGAAATACTCATTAAGTGATGGGTGGATTTAGACTACTTAGCAGCGCTGTATGAAGAAGTGTTGAGGTCTAAAAAGAAATTATCAATAAGGTCAAACGCGAGAAATTGCTCTTTGAAAAAAAAAATCTGTCTTATATTTTTTTTATTTTTATGAACTACAAAATTATATATCAAAGTTATGTAATTAAGTAATTCTAATAGAAAGCCTGACTGATCTTATAGACAGAGATAAAGAGATCAAAATAATGGCTTGCAAAGTGTTTCCTGTCCCCTTCGATCTTAAATATTGTGGTAGTATGTGAATATTAACTATGTGATAACCTTTAGAATTTCATGTTATTTGAGCACATTTACCTTTGTTTCTATTATATTTTGGCTTAATTATATATATTTTGGTTGCCCAAATTAGGAAAATGTGTGTATTTTGCTTTGGATTTGCACATTTATTTTTAATTTATTACTTTTGGGCTAATTTTGTGTTATTTTAATTTAAGGTTTGATTAGATTCATTTCTAGACCTTTGTTGATGCTTTTGGATGAAGAAATCAAGTACAAAAATGATAAGTTTTGTTAACTACAAAAAGAGTGTAAAATTATCAAAGTTGTCCCAAAGTTGTACCTTTGTTTGCTGTTAGTACAACACTCCATTTTATTTGTTTAAAAATGCTTGGGTAGGATGTGTGTGTGTGCGCGCGCGCGCGCACAAAGATCTCAACTTAAAAGACATTCTACACACTTTGATACATATTTGGACCTTGGTTATACTAGGGTTTGGGCATCGGAAAAGTTGGGATTAAGAAATTGAAGCTTTGAAGATATTTAGAGCTCATTTTTTTCAATTTGGCATCGAAAGAGTTAGTATCTCTTGCCGTTCCTCACAATGTCACCATTTGTGTTGATCAGCACCTCCATCGTAGAGAAGAGAGAAGCATCAATTTATAGAGGAGGCAACCATATAAGCGAGCAAAAGAAAAAATGAGAGATTATTTCTTTAGGGTTGTAGGCATGAGTAAAAGAAGAGAAGGATAAGGATGCCATGTGCTTCCAGTGGTTCTATAGAATAAGAGCGTACTTCATCTTAAGATGGGGACCATAGAGGATGTTGGTTCTAAAGGATGACACAACAATCACCCCCTTCTCCCCCCACATACATAGATACATATATATATATATATATATATATTATAAATTAGATGTATAATAGCATGATCTCCTAATATTTGTTAGTGGATGCTTTGATGTGTTATCAATCTAGTGGAACTATTATTTTCTTTCAATGATCAGTGATAACAATACAATTGCTTGAGTTGAAGTGTTGCATATTAAAAGTTAAAACTCATTAATTTCTTGTCATATTTTTTCTTTTTCAAAAAGCAGGTAGAATTATTGAAGATTTTTTTTAGAGAGAGTTTAATTTAGGTTGATATCATATGTATTTTTTAAATATATCCATGTTATACATTTTTTTCTTTTTTGTTTTTATCTTTCAAATTCTTAATGCCTCCCACATCTCCTTGGCCATTGTATAATAGATGACACAATAATATTTGGCATGATTGAGAGCATAGACTATAGTGAACTTGGCCTCGACATTCAAATTGACTAGCCGCTTATTCTCCTCACTCCATTCATCTTTTTTCTCCTCTCTCATTAACCCATCAGCTCCAGCTATCATTGGGATAGATGAGCCTTTGGTGACAATATCAAGTATTTCTATATCAAGAGCTTTAAGATAGATCATCATTTGGCTTTTCTAGAATGGATAGTTCTCTCCCTTAAAGGTAAGTAGTCTAGTTGTGGACAATCTTTTTATGAGGTTATCATATGCAAAATTAGCCATTAGTAAGATTTTTTTACTCTAACAGTTAAGTTAATTTTGAGCAACTAGGCTATGATACTAATTGAAAGTAGCCCAAGAAGGGGGTAAATTGGCCTTAATAAAAAATTTGACTAATTAAAATAATATCAAAGAGATAAGTTAAGAAGAATATCAACAAACAAATAGAGTAGAGAGAAAGGGAGAAAAGCTTGCACAATTTACTTATCCTAGTTCAACTCTAACCACTTAAGCCTACGTTTAGTCTTCAAGCTCCACTTGAGATTTATGTTCACTATCTTCACAAAGATTAATCATGGCCCTTGGTTGTGTTAGTGCAATTCTCAAACTTAGTACTAAAGCCTGTAACACTCCCCTTTAAAAACCTCTTAAATTCCTCTATTCAAAGTGTAGAAAAGAGAGATAAATAGAGTAAGTTTAAGAATAAATTACTTTTATTAAATATTCTCTTAAAGAGTTGATATACAATCAATAAATCTCACTTGTAATGAATATAGACTCAGAAAGTTGGTGAAACAATAAATGAAATAACTCGCATTATTCTTTCATGTGTATTCTTCTTCATCATCTTCATAAATGCTTCTATTTATAGCTGGGCTTCATAAATGATTTGCTAAACTCATGAATATGACTGTTGGAACCTTCATCTTTTTTCCTCTAAGCTTTCTCTAGAAAAGATGCATTGGTTTAGTGCTTTATGAAGGAGTTTCTCTCTCTCGACAAGGAAGGAAAATAACAGCTCTTTCTAATAAATATTCTAATAAGGTAGGTCAGAGCTTATTTTGGAAGAACGAAGCTATTTGGAAATAAGGATTTTAGGAATAAGCAACAATTATTTAATCCAACTTAAAATTGTGTTTAAAATGATTCTAGGATGTTTAAATGACTAACACAACTTATCAAAAGTAAAAGGAACATGAATTAAGGAAGCTTCAAAGTTTTCCAGAACCCATCATGAAAACAGAGCATGATTCTTCATGCATATTTTGGAATAAATAAGCTTATTCCAAAAAAGTGAAGAACAGCTCAACAGAATTTGTAGAGAGGGTTCTTTCAAAGTATAGCACTTGTATCAGAATAAGTTTATGCATATAAAGAATTGAAAATATTTATTTGGGAATAAGTTGACTATTCTGAAATAAAGACCTTAACAATGCAAAATCACAAAAGCTCTCAAAATTTGGATTTTTAATTCTAAGATTAATTGTGATACCTTTCAAGCAATACAAAGATTCTTTAAGGAATTAAGATTAAGTCAAATACTTAATCTTTTGAAAGAAATACTATAGAAATATATAAAGGAGAATAGTTTAAGTATTTCTTAACTATTTGGGAATAAGACACTTATTTAGAAATGAAGGTACTTATTTGTGTATAAGAGTACCTATTTAGGAATAAGACTTGAGGGCTAGAATTTAAAGCAAAGACAACCAATTTTCTTATAAGCCATTAATTCTTAATTATTAACCCTGTAAGGTACAAACTTATCTTATTTTGTAATAATCAAAATAAGGGTTCAATATCTTTATCTACAAAAATATTTTGAAAACCTTTGTTACTGAGGAGTACCTTCAAATGCTACACCTCCAAATCCAATATAATTAGGTGGCAATAAGTAGTAATTGCCTCCATTGTTAACAAAGAGAGAAAGGAGGAGGAGAGAGCGCAAGTAGTGCATTAGTCTTCATTGTTTTGCTAGGTTTGGTTTTGGGTTGTGAGGAATTGAGAAGTAGGAGCATCTACTTATAGAGGTAATTAATTAAGAGTAGAGTCGGTAATCTAAGCAAAACCTGACAAGCCAACTCCAAAAAAATCCACAAAATTTTAGGGCTAGGCTTGGAGAGTTTAAAAAATTTTCTTTGCTTTTAACTTATTCAGACTGTCCGAATAAGGCCAAAAATCCATGCAAAGCCAAACCTGAATAGGTTTAGTTTAAAATCCCTGGATTCTTTTTTATTTTCAACAAAATAAAATTTAAATAATATAAGAATTAAAAATATTAATTTTCTAAGATAAAAAATATTATTTGGATTAGCCCAAATAAACATGAAGTGTTAGGATGTGCTTGATTATATAGGCTTTTTTATATGATTAGATATTTTAAGCTTGATTCGAATAAGAGATGCAGATGAGATGCCACCTTCACTATACAATGACCAATTATAATTAGGTGTGTGTGTAGACTAAAAAATTCTCAACTAAGGTTGCAATAAAAACCTATGACTATAACATAATTTATGTATGGATATTTTTTTTTAAAAGTTAGTTAAACGAACTTAAATTTGTTTTGATGATTTATTTGCCAAGTCAATTTAGATATATAATGACAAAAAAGATATAATTTCATTATGTATATTTTGTGATTAATTTAAAAAAGTAGAGTTAAAAAATCTAAAAATAAATTGATATAGTCCTTATTTTAATTATTTAATTATTTTT